CAACCACTTTTGCATGTTTCTGAAAAAGTTGTGATATCGTCATGTGCTTACTTTGAGCATGTTTGATGATTACATTTTCAATTTCCACATAATTTGTCTTTGGGAATTGAGACAGCACGTTGGTACTTCTTGGTACTTCATTTTTTCGTCCGTTATGCTTGTCAATTCAGTAGTAGATTGAATCCACAAAATACAATCAGCGTCAGCTCCATCCTCCAAAAGTAAGCTCCCAAGAGGGAGCATATTGTGGAACTTGGCCTAACTCAGACAGTTTAACTTATGACTAACATTGAATTAACTATTTTAGTAAAAATAACCCATAACATGTAACTCTCTAAAATAAACCTAATTTGGTAATATAGAAATAAAGTAAATAGCCTGCAATCAGGGGCGGACTAAGGGGGCAGAAGGGGTCCACCAAAAAAATTACACTGTATATATAAAGTAAAAATCAATTTGTACCTCTATATATAATATTTGAATCCCTGTGACATAGTCCAAAGCATAGACTAGTGGTCAGGGGTTCACTATCTTTGCTAGGTTGCTTGTTCAATTCCCATTAGTCACAACCACTTTTATGAACTGAATGGCGTAAACATAGATCTCTTTTATGAATGGCGTAAAACCATATGATATGAGGCTAGCATAGAGTTTCCACTCCAGAATTGGATACATGCTTCACAAAAGATGTCACTGCTTTCTCTCGCGTAGCATTTCCAAGCAAATAAGGAAATCACTACGTGACAAGAGATATGGTACTCCGATCCATACATAATGCTTCAAACAAAACTTAGAGAAGGTAAGGTAAACACTACATATGAGTAGTTTGTTTACATACTGTTTGTGGACATAGGTAATCAAGTACACCAGAACTAGGAGAACTAAGGGAAGTTTAGTAACTAATCGATTAAGTAATGCACTGAAACAAGTAGAAACATTGAAATGCCCACGTCTATGCCACATCGCTTATTACATAGAAACGCTAAACTTGAGATGAATAGTGCACATGGATCGTTCAAACAAACCTCAGACATACGAAAGCAGAATCTTGAAGTAGATAATAATGTATATAGAAAGAGAGAACAGAGCGAACACATGTTGCCAGAAGAGCATTGCCGAAGCTTCTCTGACTGCATAACCTCTCAAGCTAGCAACTGCTCCCAACAGGATGGCACTTGGTGTGGTGTACTGCAACAAAAGCACGAACCGGTACATCTGATCATTAGGGATTAAAAAGTTCATTTGATCAGCAAAATAAACCACTCCTGTACCGACCAAAGGAAGGACCAAAAGTCTAGCAACGGTTATGCCAACAGTGGTTCGAACCCCGAGTCTAGATTCATTAGGACCCTCAGCAAGCATTCCTCCTAGAATCAGCATAACTGATGGCACCATAGCTTGAGCGAGTATTTCTAAACTGTCCGTGAGGAATGAAAGAGGAGCATCGTTACCATAAACAACAGATTTAATGGGTGGAACCATTCCAACAACAAAAGCCAACAATGTAGCAAATGTTGGAGGCTGGAGAACATGGCGAACTGGAGTTTGTTCAGCGACAATTCTTATTCTTCTAACCATCCGGGGCTCCGCTAAACATCTAATAGATTTTGGACTCCTTGGTGCTGGCGCTTCCTCCAAACTATCAGGGTCCGGAATAGAACTATATGAAAGGGTTGAGACACTGTTAAAAACCCGTGCAATAAAGGGTGTCTTGCAATGCTCGGTTTCTCTATCTTCCATACCAGGCCACTCAGCTTCCACAAGAAGTGGCCTACTTAGATCATTACTGGGTAATGGCTCCTGAATCTCGCCACCCTCATCAACAACATCAAAGTACTCCAACGGCGGCTCCATCATATGGTAAACAAGAGTGTAAACGAGGAGCACCGCCACCCATTGGGCAAACGACACATAGGACACACCAGTCGTGTAGCAATCTGGACCAAAGGGATTGTCACCACTATGACACACTGATCCAACAATGGCAAGAGGCAAATTGCCAGTGTTCCCAAACGCAGTCGCGATGATAGTGAACCTAAAATACTCTGGAGGTGGCCTGCAAATTTTCGCCACCAAGTACCCCAATAGACAACCAATTGCAGTACTTAAAAGTACATTAACTGGTATAAACCACCAGCGCGCAAAATTCTGGACAGTAATAGTCTCACCAAGGTGAATAAAGATAGTGCAAGGCAAGAAGAGTGCAAAGACAAGCTTACTAAGTAGCTTAAAAGTAGCTTTAGGAACTAATTGGGATCTTGGATGTGCAAGAACTAGGCCAATAACAGTTAGACATAAGAGTTTCAAGAGCGGTAGAACAGCATATACTAGGTAATGGCTACTGTAATACATATTGGCCTCTTTTTCAGAATTTGGGAGTTCCATTTTAAGTTGAAACCACAAAGGAAAGTTCCCACAACCTTTCTCAAACACCAAAATCAGCTGAAATACTAGCCAAGATTGAAACTTTACAAGATGGGTCTCAAGGATTTCTATTATTCAGAGCAACAGAAAGACCTACAGATTTAACAAATCCAGAAAACCCCACCTCAAAAGATTACAGGTTCACTTTATTAGGTAACAACTTAAAGTTCACTTAATTAAAATGATTATAGTACCTAAAGTACAGCTTAGCCCCAAGAATCTTGAAATAGGACTCTTTGGAAAAAAGTCAAACTGCTAAAGAACAGGACTAATAATAAAGATAGTGGCAAAAGATGGAGCAAGAAATTGAGGAGTCCCAAATCAAAAAGAAAGAAAAATATGTGGAAGACGGCAAATACTTGCCTTACGGAATACGAAGAAGCAGCTCCTCAGTTGCAGATGGAACCTCTTCGCTGGTAGAGGAGAAAGCCTTGTCTAACAGTAAATGAAAGCAAATACCAAACCATCTGAGTGCATGATTGAACCAATTGGGAGCACGTGGACACGTTTATTTATTTATCTACTATATATTCTTTTTTTTTTTCTTTTTTCTCAAGAACGTAGACACATTTTCCAGCAGAATTCACTAGAAGTGGTGTTTAATAATGGAAGGTAAACCGAGTTAAAATTAACCAAGTTGTACCAGACCTCCAGCTCCTCAAGTTAAATTTGGAAATTTATGGAGGTAATTGTATAGGTTCAAATTTGGACGACCACGGCCACTGACAAATATGGCTTGAGACGAGGCCCTTACAACACAGCGGTTAGTAAATGCACGACATTTGTAATAGCATAGGCGCAATAGGAGACAGTAGGAATATGTTTTTCAAATATTCTTTATGTTATACTTTTTAGAGTTCAAGAGGGGAGTGTCCCTTATAAATAGAGGGAGACGACTTTGTAAAAGGTGATCGAAAAAGTGAATACAAAAAAGACAACTTTTGGTTGTTACAGTTCGAGAATCCACGCATCATTTCTCACCTTGGCCAATAGCATCCATTGCAATATTTCTCTACCTTGTTCATCTCTTGCATCTTTCAATCTAGATTTATTATGCTTGGCTGAGATTTACTTCTTAATCTTCACTAATTGGCTTAATCAAAAAGGTTTCGGTATCTTTTGGTCAAATAATTTGGCGCCGTCTGTGGGGATTTCTTTAGCGAAGATTTTAGTCTCATCTAGACTCTTGAGAGGGATAATCACCTCTTCCTAGCTTTGTACAAACTAACAATAGCAGGGAAAGGAGATGCAAGGCAAAAAGCAATAGTAGGCGTCACAACTAACCTCCTGAACACCATCAACGAAGACAGTAGGGAAGATAACGAAAACGAGATACCGGACACCACACCCAGAGGAGACGCTTCACCTCCCCCGCACGAAAACGTAATTGCTTCGCGCGAGAAGGAAGCCTCAACATCTGTAATAGGAGAGGCACCACCGGCAGTAAGAAGACTGCTGGAAGAATGGCTAACAAGTATTCTGAACACCATACTTGATAAGCCTGCACAAAGGAACAACAGGAATGTTGCACATGCAGATGTCACGATAAACGCTGATGAGCAAGATGCCCCCCGTACAGGTAACACTCATGTCACTAATGACGCAGGTAATGACACGCGTGCAGTCGTTTTAAAGAAAATGGAGGAGATGGAAATTGAGAATAAGGCACTCCGTGACCAAATGAAGGAACACCAAGAGAGGGTTGACAAAATACTAGGCACCCCAAAGTTGTTGCCAAAACGCGACGTTGGTCGATTCGTCGAGCAACCATACAGTGAAGAAGCGCCCCCTACGCCATTCCAAAGACCTTCAAAATACCGCCCTACCTAAAAATATATGATGGTACTACCGATCCAGAAGATCATATCATCCACTACGTCATAGCCGTAAAAGGTAACGATCTTTCAAAAAAGCAGGTATCATCGGTGCTATTGAAAAAGTTTGGCGAAACCCTAACAGGGGGAGCCTTGACCTGGTACTCTCAACTACCGACACACTCGATAGCAACGTTCGAGGAAATGGAAGACAAATTTATCACTGCCCATGTAGGAGCCAAAAAGGCTGAAGCTAGGGTAAACGATATATTTTCCATAAGACAGATGCACGGCAAGGGACTCAGGGAATTCCTATCTTGGTTCAACAGGGTAAGAATGAGCCTACCGAATGTGTCAGAGGGAATGGCAGTAGCAGCCTTCCAGAGCGGACTAAACAGGAACGGGTCGAGTGCGACCAGAAAATTGCTAAGCAGGCCCATAAAATACCCTCCAACTTCTTGGGAAGAAATCCATAATGCCTACTGCGTTGAGGTGCGAGCCGATGAGGACGACCTCAACAGTCCAACCCAATGGTTGACATTATTTCAAACTGAAGCAAGGAAAGATCATCGCAACGATGGATGAAAAGATCAGTCAGGGCCCCATCTCGGCCGAGAAAGGCATCAGCCTTATGTCAGGACGTCTGCCCCACCATCGCCGCGGCATATGGATGCCCCTTCTCGACACACAACACCATATCGACATGAGAAAGGTATGCCTCCACTCCTACCTACTTACAATTTTTGTATTTATCCTTCAGAAATGGTGTACGCATTAGAGAAACTCGGTATAAAGGTGCAATGGCCGCAAAAGATGAGGTCAGATCCCATCACTCGGAAGTCAAACGCTTTCTGTGAATTTCACCAAGAAAGGGGTCACAAAACCGAAGATTGCATAGGACTGCGGCAGGAGGTAGTGCGAATGCTGAGCCAAGGACTCCTAAAAGATTTGTTGAGAAATAGAGGACGGGCTAACTTCGCCCGCGGACGTGAACAACCCCAGAGACCTCAAAAACCGCCCTTTCCCGCTCGCACTATACAGATGATCATCGGCGGGGGCGATGGAGCAGCAATCAATCATGTCAAGTTCACCACCACACATAAACTCAAACGATCAATCACCCATGAATGGTATGATGACCTCGAAGACAGTATCATCTTCGATAAGCCAGATGCCGATGGTTTGTCTTTCCCTCACTATGATGCTCTTCTTATCACTTTACGTATTGCAGATACTGATGTAAAAAGAATAATGGTGGATGACGGGAGCGGCGTGTGTATTATCCATCCTCGAGTCCTCATACAGATGAGACTTTAAGACAAAATAATATCGCGCTGCATAACGCTAACAAGTTTTAATAATGCAGTCGAACAGACTTATGGAGAGATAGTGCTACTCGTCCTGGCCGGATGAGTCACCCTGGAAACCACGTTTCACGTCATAAACCAAGAAACAGCCTATAACACCATCATAGGGCGCCCGTGGATACATGCCATACGAGCGGTCCCTTCTAGTCTCTATCAAGTAATCAAGTTTACTACCACATGGGGAGTATTCAGCATTGGAGGCGAGCAACGCACTGCACAAGAATACTATCGCATCGCCCAAGATTGCACCCACACCCAGCAACTCAAAGGGGAAAACGCGGAAGCATAGCAATCAGCGATGTCGGGAGCCAAACTTTACATACGAACAGACGTTATCAAGGACCCCGACATCGTGGAAGCGTCCGAGTCAACGATAGAAAATCTTGACCCTATCCTACTAGACAGCAACGATAGCACAAAAAGGCCTATATCAGGTATAACCTCTCAAAACCAGGTAAGTATCATAAATTCTTGACTAACCATGCCGATTTGTTTGCCTTCTCCTACGCAGATATGCCAGGTATCCCAAAGGATATCGCCACACAAGCTAAATGTCGACCCCCTATACCCGCCAGTACGGCAAATAAGAAGGAAGTTCAATGTCGCGATCAATGAAGTTGTCAGCGAAGAAGTCGATAAGTTGCTCGCAAATAGCTCCGTCTGAGAGTCAAAATACCTTCAATGGGTCGCCAATGTGGTCATGGTGAAAAAAAAATGGGAAGTGGTAGATATGTGTAGCTTTCACAGACCTAAACAAGGCATGCCCAAAAGATTCCTTTCCACTGCCACACATCGACCAGCTCATCAACGCAACAGCAGGACATGAGTTTCTAAGCTTCTTGGATGCCTACTCGGGTTACAAACAGATCCTCATGGAAGAGGAAGACCAGGAGAAAACCACTTTCATCACTCACCAAAGAACGTACTACTATAAGGTCATGTCGTTCGGACTAAAGAATGCAGGGGCGACGTATCAGAGATTGGTCACCAAGATGTTCAAAAACCAACTCGGTAAAATAATGGAAGTCTACATCGACGACGTGCTAGTTAAGTCGAAAAGGAATTAAGATCATATCGATCATCCGAAGGAAGCCTTCGACATATTAAGACGGTACCGCATGAAAATGAACCCCGAAAATTACGCCTTCGGCGTAACTTTGGGTAAGTTCCTCGGTTTCCTGGTATCACAAAGAGGCATCGAAGTCAACCCAGAACAGATTAAGGCCATTGAAGGAATAACCAAACATTGACCAGTAAAAAGCAGGTACAAAAATTGACAGGATGGATAGCCGCCTTGTTGAGGTTCATCTCGCGATCATCGGATAGATGCCATAAATTATTTAATGTATTAAAGAAAGACAATGGACTTTAGTGGAATTCAGAATATGTCGACGCCCTAAGGAAACTAAAAGCATACCTGTCTTCACCACCCTTACTCGCCAAGGCAGATCCAGGCAAGTGCCTCCTAGTCTACCTAGCTGTATCCAAAGTCGCGGTAAGTGCAGTTCTAGTCCGAAAAAACAAAGGTACGCAATCTCCAATCTATTATATCAGCAAAACCTTAATTGATGCCGAAACTAGGTATCTCCACCTTGAAAAACTGGCTCTAGCATTAGTCGTAGCTTTACGAAAGCTTAGACCATATATTCAGTGCCACCCCATAAAGGTGGTGACAACTTTTCCTCTCAGAAGCAACCTGCACAAACCCCAATTATCGGGTAGGTTGGCCAAATGGGCCATAGAATTGAGCGAGCATGATATAACATATCAACCGCGAACTGCAATAAAGTCGCAAGTGCTCGCCGAATTCAGTGCGGAGACATTGCCCGAAGTCGAGCATGAAGCGCTTCGCGCTTCACCTGAACGACTCGACCTCTAGGTCCTCTACACCGACGGCGCATCCAACGCGTCGCGATCGGGACTAGGACTCGTACTCGAAGTCCCAACGGGCGAAGTAATTCTCCAGCCTATACGATGCCCTGAAATGACTAACAATGAGGCCGAGTTTGATGCTGTAATTACTGGACTCAAATTGTCCCTCAAGTATAGTGCTCGGCGAGTCATCCTCCGCTGCGACTCTCAACTTATTGTGAACTAAGTTACTGGGACTTTCCAGGTTAAGGAGCAGAGGTTGCAGAAATACTAGACCAAAATCCACAAGTTGCTGCCAGAATTCGACGAATGCCGACTCGACCAAATACATCGAGCACAAAACATCGAAGCAGACGGTCTCGCCAAGCTAGCAGCAACAACTAAAAACATCACCAAGGAGAACGTGGTCACCCTCCTCCACTCGTCAATAGACCAAGTCGAGTTACATTTTATAAATTTAACTTGGGATTGGCGTAATCACATCATATCATATCTGTAAGAGGGAACACTCCTACAAGATAAAAAAAATCCAAAAAGCTCTAAATACAAGCGGCCAGATACAACATCATAAACCACGACCTTTACAAAAGGACGTTCGGTGGCCCTTTAGCCAAATGCCTTGGACCAAATCCGACAAGGCGTGTGCTCGAAGAGGTACACAAAGGCCACTGCAGTGTCTTATTCATGCTGGATACTACTGGCCCACTATGAAAAAAGAGGTCGCGGAGTACGTCAAGAAATGTGAGCAATGCTAGAAATACGCCCCTATGATACACCAGGCGAGGGAACTCCTGCATTCTGTCACTTCTCTATGGCCGTTTATAAAATTGGGGATGGATATCGTCGGCCCCTCCCAGCAAGGCGAGGTAAGATACACTTCCTTTTGGTTTTAACTGACTAGTTTTCCAAATGGGTAGAAGCAGGTGCGTTCACTCAAATACGCGAACAAGAAGTCATCGCGTTCATCTAGAAAAACATCATATGCCGCTTCGGCATCCCCAAAGAAATCAGTTGCGACAACGGACCCCAGTTCATCGGGAAAAAGACGACCGAGTTCTTCGAAAAATGGCACATCAAGCGGATACTCTCGCCATATCATCCCACCGGCAACGGTCAAGCGGAATCCTCTAATAAAACAATATTGAACATATTAAAGAAAAAGCTTGAGTACGCCAAAGGGCTATGGCCGGAACTGCTACCACAGGTGCTATGGGCCTATCGCACAACGCCGAAAACCAGCACGGGTGAGATGCCGTATTCACTAGTCTACGGCACTGACGCAGTCATACCCGTTGAGGTTGGGGAACCTAGCTGAGATACTCCAATGAGAGTGGATCAAGCAACGACGAAAACAGATTTCTAGACCTGGATGAGGTCGAAGAACGAATGGATATGGAACACATAAGGATGGTGGCCCAAAAACAACAAGTAGAAAGGTACTATAACAAGAAGTCCAAAGTACGACCACTTAGAGTCGGGGACTACGTGCTAAAAGCCAAAATGCAAGCAGCGAAAAACCCGAATGAAGGGAAATTGGGAACAAACTGGAACGGTCCATATAAAATCACAGTAGCAGCAAGCAAATGAGCGTTACAATTAGAAACAATGGAAGGAAAACTACAACAAAATAACTGGAATGCCGCCCACCTCAAGTACTTCCATTTCTGAAAAGAGATGCCGCCCAAGTCGTACTCTTTTTCCCTCGCCCGGGTTTTGTCCCAATCGGGTTTTATCGGGGAGGTTTTTAATAAGGCGGCGAGGGGGAAGTCTCGAGATTCGAAGTATTGTTCATTGACCCGCCTACCGATAACATCTCCAGGTCGAGCAATGAAGGGACTAGATATAAAGAATCTCCATTATATGTACGAAACCAACATGTACCGCCATTATACGAGCGAAGTCGACAAGTATCTCCGACATATGAATAAAATCACTCCATTATGTACACGAAATCAACACACATCTCCAATGTAAGAATAAAATCGGCATCTATGACACTCCAACAAATAAAATAGAATGCCATTCTTACGACGGGATACTACTTCGGCACCAGCTCGAAAGTAACATCCCAATGGCCAAGGCCATAAAAAAGAAGAGTTCGACTTCATTCGAACCACAACGGGATACTACTTCGGCACCAGCTCGAAAGTAACATCCCAATGGCCAAGACCATCAAATAAAAGAGTTCGACTTCATTCAAACCACAACGGGATACTACTTCGGTACCAGCTCGAAAGTAATATCCCAGGGGCTAAGGCCATCATCAGAAAGAAGAGTTCGACTTCATTCGAACCACAACGGGATACTACTTCGGTACCAGCTCGAAAGTAATATCCCAGGGGCTAAGGCCATCATCAGAAAGAAGAGTTCGACTTCATTCGAACCACGACGGGACACTACTTCGGCACTAGCTCGAAAGTAACATCCCAATGGCCAAGGCCATCAAAGAAAAGAGTTCGACTTGATTCGAACCACGATGCGATACTACTTCGGCACCAGCTCGAAAGTAACATCCTAATGGCTAAGGCCATTATCAAAAAGAAGAGTTCGACTTCATTCGAACCACGACAGAATACTACTTTCGCACCAGACCGAAAGTAACATCCCAATGGCCAAGGCCATCAAAGAAAATAGTTCGACTTCATTTGAACCACGACGGGATACTACTTTGGCACCAGCTCGAAAGTAACATCCCAATGGCTAAGGACATCATCAAAAAGAAGAGTTCGACTTCATTCAAACCACAACGGGATACTACTTCGGCACCAGCTCGAAAGTAATATCCCTACGACCAAAGCCGTTGCTAACGAAAAGAGTTCAACCAAACTCACAACCCAACGGGTTTAACATTTCAACAAAGATTCAGAGTAACTTGACTGCGGCAAAAGTCATCGTCAAACAAACCAGAGAAAAGGAACAACAACTCAGAGGTACACGACCAAAACAATTTTCATTACAGCAAATATATTACAAATATTTATTTTTACAAAGGGCTTAGAGATGCCCTCGCAAAAATGGCAAAGCAAAAATAAATACAACCAAAAACTACGCCACATCATTCTCTGTGGCATACACCTC